TACCCTTAAAAGTGGCAGAAATGCAAAAAACTAAACGCATTTTTTAAACTACCCATTACAGCTATTTATTAAATCAGGGTCTAATCGTCTAATGCATCATTTGACACAACCAACTCCACCGCTTACTTACACTGATTCATATAATAATAGATATCTAAAGTTAGTGTTTACGTCGGAATGAAAACATTGCTATATGTATATTTCAATTGTTATTTCTTGGAGTTGTTTATAGACATCTAAATCTGCACTCTTCTCTAATAAAATGCTAAAGTTACTTAGTACGACTAAGTAAGTACCTAGACCTACATAGGTTACCTAGGTAACTCACTCTTAAACATAAAAGACTAAAACTTTGTATGTAGATACAAACACTACGGTACCTATTCCTTTTTAAATTTATTTTAGCTACTTTGGATTATTATTATTTATTATATTTTATTTATATTTGTATTCTAGATCACAGTTGACTGGTGGGAATGCCCGTAGCATGAAGTTTGCCTACCTATGTACTTTTTTGCTCAATAATATCGGTAATCGAACGAGAGAATCCTTGCTCTACTACTCCACGAAGCAACGCGACCAATGCGAGAAACTGGTTGTATACGCTAACAGGCTCCCTGTATAAACACATCGCGCGGCGCGCACGGGGCGACGTGGGTACTACCCTTTTAGTTGGCATTAAATATTGTTAAATTGCTTCTAAATACAAATAAGATTATTTAACATGTATACGTACACAAAGCACCGCTAATTAGTTCGTAACGCTCACATCGACACTACTGTCATTTACACAATGTACATGTGTGGGTAATTTCATATTACTGTGTATAAAAATATTCGTCCACCACGTTCACATTGGTATTTTCATTCTTGTGTCGGTATACGTAATTTTATAATTTAATGCATGGGTAAGGTTAAAACTATTTACAATCATTGATATGACCCGACATTTTCACTGTAATTATCGTAGTGCTCGTGGTCGATTGGTTAATGAGTACGCTTTTATCGTCTTTCAAGGATCAATGATGATGTGGGTTCTATTCCAGCTAAAAGTTTTTTTTTATTTTACCTTGTTGTTTTTCTTATTTATTTTTTTTTTTGTTTTTTGTCATATAATATAAATATCAGGCTATAAAAGAAGCAAATCAGTCGGTAAATAAAACAATACTATTTTTTATTAAAATTAATTTATTAATTATACAAATATGTGGTTTTATATTCAATATTTATATCTAATAATTAATTATATACCACATGTTAACTTTAAAGTTCTTCCAATCATAATTAATAGATATGACAATAAACCTCATAGTCGAATCGGGAAATATCATGCGGTAATGCGATGGCAGCAACATTTTTTATTAAGTAATAAACAAATACAACATTCTTGTTTTGTAATTTAATAATACATTAAGTAATAAACAAGTAAACCATGTAAAAAAAATACACTGAAATTTCAACATGTTATTTCTTGGCGAATTTTTGTCGTTTGAATCTTCAATTAATTATCTATTTTACGACGGTTGTTATAAGGTTCAATATTCAGTGGGCTGTATGTTAGTAAAAAAAATGTGACGAATGCTATGGAACGATTTTAACATTCATGACCTTTAGAATCAGGGAAACTTTAAATTAGTTAAAGATGGGCGTAAATATAATATGTCAATCAAGTTAGAAAGCAGTTAAATAAATTTGTTAATGAAAAATTAAAGTGAAGTGAATCAACATGTTGAATAGAAAGAAATTATGACAATTTCTAACCACAAAACAATAACATCACTTCACCGTATGCTCTAGACAGCATTTTAACATTCTTAAAAAATATAATAGTTAATTTGAATAAAGGCAGAGTTTGACAGGCTCAATAATTGATTCCGAAATCAATACAAATCAGCGCTGACCCAAAAAACAATATAAGTAAATTTATTCGAAATCAGTACAGCAGCATTGAATGCTTACACGAATTTTTGTTCTGGGCTGATTTGTATCGTTTCGGAGTCAGTTACAGACCCTATGTAAATCTGTTTTCAGTTTAATAATGTGTTGGTAAACCCTCTCGGCATATTACCTCTTGCAACCTTCTGCTCATGCTTTCAACCATATTCGCGCATATGTTACTACCGCGCAATGACTCCCAGGTTGACATGACAAGGTCGTCTAAACTGGCTTTAGATTTGACTTCCGATGAGTCCCAGTTTAGCACCATATGACCCCACAGATTTTCTATAGGGTTTAAATCGGGGCTTTTTGCTGGCCAATCAATAACAGTCATGTTTACTTGATTTCGTAACCAGTTTTGCACGATATGTGCACGATGCACTGCGCTGTTATCTTGCACGAAATAAATGTGGTCGTGAGGATACACAACTCGCACCGTAGGCAACATTACGTTTTGTAAAATATTCAAGTAATCATGACTATTACTGCGACCAGATATTTCCACGAGCTCACCGGGACCCATCGAAGACATCCAACCCCAATACCCGACAGTAATACGGCCACTGGTCCTACAAGGCAGAAGGTTGCAATTTGTATACCTTTCTCCATCTTTTCTCCACAATATTTTACGCCCATCCTTATCGGCTCACATCGACACTACTGTCATTTACACAATGTACATGTGTGGGTAATTTCATATTACTGTGTATAAAAATATTCGTCCACCACGTTCACATTGGTATTTTCATTCTTGTGTCGGTATACGTATTTTTATAATTTAATGCATGGGTAAGGTTAAAACTATTTACAATCATTGATATGACCCGACATTTTCACTGTAATTATCGTAGTGCTCGTGGTCGATTGGTTAATGAGTACGCTTTTATCGTCTTTCAAGGATCAATGATGATGTGGGTTCTATTCCAGCTAAAAGTTTTTTTTTATTTTACCTTGTTGTTTTTCTTATTTATTTTTTTTTTGTTTTTTGTCATATAATATAAATATCAGGCTATAAAAGAAGCAAATCAGTCGGTAAATAAAACAATACTATTTTTTATTAAAATTAATTTATTAATTATACAAATATGTGGTTTTATATTCAATATTTATATCTAATAATTAATTATATACCACATGTTAACTTTAAAGTTCTTCCAATCATTCTAAATTATTCTAAATAATAAATAACTAGAACTAAAATATAAATAAAGGATATTATAGGTATAAATAAATCTAAAGTATTTACTATTAAAATTAACATAAGATTTAGAAAAATAGGATAGGAAAAAAAGAAAAGATTTAATTGTTTCTAATTTCACATTTCAAATATTTGATTAATTAATACTAAAACAACATGTGAATGCTGGAATCGATCCGGTGGCACTTTACTTGACCACTGGAGGCGATAACCATTGCGCCAAGCGCGCCGCAGATGAGAACATCGAAATATTGTATATCATTCAGTAACATAAAAATACAATGAGAATGCACTATATTTATATAAGTATTGTATTGCTCATTATTTTTGATTTCGATTTATTCAAAGTTTGTTATGAGTATTTTTATCTTTACCCTCGTTTTTATTTAAACTTATTTACTAAAATATTACGTATACCGACACAAAAATGATATGTAATACCAAGATGTGTGTGATAGAACGATAGTTTCTATACATATCTATTAATATGAAATTACCCACACATGTTCACTGTGTAAATGATAGTAATGTCGATGTGTAGCGCCTCGAACTAATTAGCGGTGCTTTGTGTACATGGAGTATTTTTTGTGTAAAGCTACATGTGTATTCAGTTTTATTTTAAATCAGTAACTCCCGCGCGTTTTCACCCTCTGCTCGGTTCCTATTGATGGTAGCGTAATTCAACAGAGTGCACCAGCGGTTAAGTACTATTTTAAAAGTACCTATATTGTCTGTAAGTACTGTTCATTGCATTTAGTTTATCCTGCAATCACGGAGTAGTTACTTATTATTCTGTTAAATAAATAAAGCCCTCAGTAAAATAAAAGTTCCAAATGATGTCAACAAAGAAATTGTAATTGTACACATAATATAACGCATATTGTATGCTTAATTGTTTATTGTTGGACATCTGCAAAGTAAAGTTAGTGATGAACCAAGAACGGTCGTATACCTACTACCTAGTTAGTGGGTCGAGCGGTCGGTGTAGAACAGTAGCAGTAGCTAGTAAGTACTAGGTACAGAGGTGCGGACTCTCTGCCGCGATTTATGGCAATGATTGGAAGTTGACCTCAATACGGGGCGGGCGGCGGCGGCGGCGGCGCGCGGCCAGCGCTCGCTTCCTCAAAGGAAGCCGCTCTCGCTGCCCGCCCTCGTATCACTCGCTATTCGCTTCCTATTCCCGTCCGCTGGACTTGCAGTCCGATGCAATCTAATTATCTCCACCAACACTTACTTATTTATGACGTACGGCTCGGTGTGTCAGCTCAAGCAACATTCATTATTGAGGCACCTTGTCTATTGTACATTTGGGCCCGAGTGCGACATCTTTACGTATTTATTAAATCTGAGGTTTTAGAAATATAATTAAGTAAAATATTTATTATATTAAAACGATATAGGGACAAATAGAAAACAGGCTAGGCCTGAGGCGTCTAAGTATTCATTCGCATCACTGCCACATACTAAGCAGGTACATGAATCTAACAGATTTCTGGGAACCGCATTAATGTCTTTGTGTTCACACTTAATACTTTGGTACCATTTTAAGGTTTCTTTAAACTGAGCTGTAACTGAACGTTGTACTTAACATGTGTTAAGTTAAAGAAGAATATTAAGTAATAATAATATATATTTAAGCGATCGGTCGGCTGCCGTGAGTCGGGCTCTTCGGCACATGCACGAGCGTGTCTAGGTCGTAGAGTTCGGGCGGAGGGCGGCGGCGGCGGGCGTCGATACGGCGCGGCGGCGGCGAGGGGCGGCGCGGCAGTGCGAGGCGCGCGCGGCACCCGACAGCCGCCCGCATGCACCGCGCCGCACCGGCCGCGCCACGTGCTGCCGCGCCGCCGCCGCGCCGTGCACCGCCTGCACAGCGCACACGACCGAGGCGCCGCGCGCCGCCGGCTGACGACGAGCTTCCGCAGTTTTGGAGCGACTATATTGCGACACAGGCGCGCGCTCGCCGACTCGTCGCGCGTCGTGCGTCGCGTGTTTACACTCCGGTGACAGTCCCCGCGGGCTGGAGTGGGCGCGAGCACCAGTGCCGGCACTCGAGGCACTCCCGCTAATAGGTATGCCTCCCAATGTCATTACTGTCTCTATGCGTGCGTGATGCCTCCGACAGCACCTACTTGCCACAGCTGTGTGTGGAGCTGGCACATGGATCCATTCACCGGGCGGAGAGCTACAGTCCGGTGCATAAAATCATAATTTAATATGTTCCGCGTCCCGAATTAGATTCAAACAATCGCAACTATTACCGAGCTAACCTAGTTCCTGGTGTTATTATCTGTAATTTGTATGATCGTCAGTGTCGTGTTGTGAGTATCTGTTCAAGTAGCATTTATTTCAGGTATATCTCAAAAATGATTGTGTGATTCGCTCAAATCACTCATCTAAATGTACCTGACACATTAGAGGTACATGAGTGATTTGAGCGATAGTGTTACAACCTGATACACGACTGACCAACTTACACTTGCCACGACCGAAACTTTTATGCAGGGTAGGTAGACTAGTAGTAAACTTTGTTTTTAAATGCTTCATTTATACTTCTAGATGTAATTGATGAATATGTAACTTATTGAAAGTAGAATGTCATCGAGGGCAGGTGCCAGCTACTTATGGTGCAGACTCTGTTCTATTTCGTTTATTTTGCATACGGAACTGTTGTGCGCTGGTACTAGTTTAATACTTTAAATAATTAGATGCAGTTTCAAGTATCATCTAACACCAGTACCATACGTGTGTACTAGGAGCAAGTTCTCATTCTCATTAATCCATTTTGACAACAGCACCAATAGTCTGATACGTTCTGTTTGCTATATTATCTGAATAACAAGTAATTATAAAAATTTAGTATTTATAGGTACACCATAGGTATTGTTCCTTGAACAAATTTGTGGGCGCAGTAAGTTTGAGATTCGATTACTGAATCCAAATTTGTGGGCGCAGTAAGTTTGAGATTCGATTACTGAATCCAAATTTGTGGGCGCAGTAAGTTTGAGATTCGATTACTGAATCCAAATTTGTGGGCGCAGTAAGTTTGAGATTCGATTGCTGAATCCAAATTTGTGGGCGCAGTAAGTTTGAGATTCGATTACTGAATCCAAATTTGTGGGCGCAGTAAGTTTGAGATTCGATTACTGAATCCAAATTTGTGGGCGCAGTAAGTTTGAGATTCGATTACTGAATCCAAATTTGTGGGCGCAGTAAGTTTGAGATTCGATTACTGAATCCAAATTTGTGGGCGCAGTAAGTTTGAGATTCGATTACTGAATCCAAATTTGTGGGCGCAGTAAGTTTGAGATTCGATTACTGAAGCCAAATTCTAAAAAAATACACATGACGAGGTTGAATAATACAATCTCCTCTTTGTCAATACTCAAGGCGAGGAAAATAGGAATACTTACAATAAATCAAAATTAGTCCTCGGATCAATATTTTTTTTTTTCATTTTTAACATCTAGCAATCGAAGAGTTACAGTTGTTCCATCATCAGTTCACACAAATAAGATGATTATTATCAGAATAAAATGAAATATCATTATTTTGAGAATTTAATCATTCAATCCTTCATATTGATGGGGACCTCTAAAGGACACCCATATAAAGCATAGTAAACATACATGGAACATAATAAAAACGAAAAGTGTTTGACAAATTGAAAACTTTCTCCTACTTTTGGAGTCGAACAGTAACAGATACGATCAAACAGTGATGTCGATTGTCGCACAAACTTTTTATACTGTCGGACATTTTGTGATATTCATTTTTTTATATATATAATTGTGAGTTTGACGTAACATACGCTCTGATCTCAAGTGGACCATACCTGTTGATGTGTCCTTGCACATCACACATGGAGACAATACATGCTACAATGAGAAGTAACGAGTCACGTGTATGCCGGCGCTTCCTCGTGGGACTACTCGTTCACAAATTAACTAATAGCATTAGGCAATTGTTTAAATGAACTTATACCATATTCTTTTTTATTTTAACTCACGTAGGTCCTATACATATACAGACTTCGTTTATCAAGACTTATGATTTGTTGAATATTTGTAATGTTGTGTGATGACCATTGACCAGGCTAACTCTTAACTTAATTTATCGAACACCCGTCAGAAGAAACTAAAAATGTATAGAATATAAATTGTGCCTCCCTCCCTGTGTGATGGCCACGCAATAGTGCGGAACATTGAACCATCTCCTTACACGTACCATTTTTATGTGTACCTACAACATGTGTAGTTAGTGTTTACAGTAATAAAAATAACTTTTATGGACGGCACCGGCGTGTCTTTGTTGTTTGATGTCTCAGCGTAGTGCGCGCCATGCCGCGCGACACACAGGTACCTGCTGGGAGATGTTTCTAACGAACCTTTCATGGATATATAGCTACTCTCACGCGGTTTCACCCGGTCTGCTTGGTTACTATTGATCGTAGCGTGATGTTTATTAGCATATAGCCTTCTTCGATAAGTGGGCTACCCAACAGAAATACTTTTTAATATGGACCCAGTAGTTCCTGAGATTAGCGCGTTCAAACATACAAACAAACAAACTCTTCAGCTTCATATAATAGTAGGTGTAAGATATTAGATGTATATTTGTCAGAAATATAATACATGTCTTTATCTAATTACAGCTTCTCTAATTGCAGTTTGTTTGTATAGACTATTATTTTCTTGGTTATTTATTTTCCATACCCGAAGTTGGTTTATGCAGGTAATAATGTAGCCACATATGTAAGGAATTATACAATAATCAATCAGACTGAAGCCGAAAGTAAAACGCATGCTTCGTTCAATCGTTTGGTTGCAGTGGTACACGTATGTCATAAAACTTATATAACATAAACCGGAGCGTGTTAAAATGAATACTTACGAGCGACCCGCTGCGAGCTGGGCCAGGCGACCCTCGAGCGGCCCACGCCCCGTGGTGGAAGTCCCTCACGTCTTATCAATATCATAATAGCGGAAGGGGTTTCAGAGAGTGTAACTATGTACTTAGACCTCTGTATAACAACGGCTTGATTATGACGTTTACTATTTTCTTATTAAGGATGTGAAATCCATATGTTACACATCTTTGTCAGATGTATGTATGTACGTATGTACGGATATATTATTATTAGATTTATATGCCAGATGCTGCTGTGTGGCACACGGCTCATTGATATGGCCTCCGAATATATAACGTATTAATGTCCCAAACAGTGAGCAGGTAGATGATTCGTACCTATTACATCAAAAACATAAAAATTATTTAATTTTAATACCAACTGACGAATAATCTGAACATTTGAGCACTGTTACACAGCGTGAGGAATTAGTCGACCGGAGAGCGACGCGCTGCTCGCTGTGCGCCGCGCGCCGACAACTAGTTGTCTAGGCAACCTGTATAGTGCGGGGATTGACTACAATACAACACCACGTTGTTATTTATTTTACACTATCTTAGGCTACTACTAGCTTAAGTACTCTCGAGAGTGAGTTTTAAAATGGCGATAGAATTTTTGCAAATTGTGTTAAATGTTCCGGAGCGTACACAAGGGTACATTTAATTGATTGTTAGCTATATAGCTATTGATAGCTAATGCAAATTTGATAAATTAAATCTTGTACATACTTTGTTTTATGTAAATAGCTACACATCTCTTTAAAACATTTATAGTTGGAATGAGTACTTAGCACGCATTCATACTGTTCATAGCACCTAAATTAATTAGTTATTCAATATTGGACGGGCAACAGACGGACAGACCCGACCAAGCTTGTGCCACGCACCTGACCTTTCCGAAGGCCCTTCCCGTGAGGTCATCGTGTCCTTATTCGTCTCTATTCGCATTTCTAATTTGTCATCCATTTCTGAATACATAGCATTGAGTAATACGTACGTATACTTTCCGTAATACTTGCGTTTACTTGTAACTATTTCTTGATTATTTGATACAGAGAACAACCGATTGCAAAGCGAAAAGTGTGAGACAAGGGGTTGTCAGGTATTTCGTTATCATCGCCATGAAACTGCTACGGCTCGCTACGTAGACTTCTACGGTTTGTCTACATCGGCGTAGCCACGTAGAATTTGTAGCAGACCTCAATGCTTTGGTTACATAGGCGTAGCAGTTATTGCAAACTCCTACGTTTTGACTCCGTTATTATAAAATTTTACGCTTTGACTGCGTTAGAGTAGAGGTTGTAGCACACCTGTACGCCTTAGCTACGTTTGCGTAGCAGGTCTCGATATTAGCGTAGCTATTGGCTACGTTAGCGTTACAGTTGTGGCAGACCTCTCCGCCATGGCTATGTTTGCGTAACAGACTTCTGCACTTTAGCTACGTCAGCGTAGCAGTTGTTGTAGACCTCTACGAGTTAGAACATCAACATAGTAATTGTAGTAAGCCTCTATGCCTTGGCTACGTTCTACATTTTGGCTACCTCAGCGTAGCTGTAACAAACCTCTACGCCTTGGCTACGTCAGCAGCCTTCTACACTTTAGCTACATCATCGTAGTAATTGTCAGGCAGCAGGCCTCTACGCTTTGGCTACGTTTGCGTAGCAACGTAGCCGCAATGTAATCACTGCGTAGTCACTACGAGTTTGTAGCAACGTAGTCACTGCGTAGTCGCTACGTTTGCGTAGCAACGGTCTACACTTTAGCAACGCCTTCGTACCAGTTGTAGCAGACCTCTACGCTTTGGCTACGTCAGCGTAGCAGTTGTAGCGGACCTCTACACCTTGGCAACGTTTGCGTAGCAGACCTCTACGATTTGACTACGTTTGCGTAGCAGTTGTTGTAGAGTTAAATAGGTAGCGCGTCCGCAACGGCTGCACAGTTGTAGATTCTTGCTGTCCAAAAAAAAAAAACTTTTTTTTTTTAACTGACTTCAATAAAAAAGAGGAGGTTCTCAATTTGACCGTATATATGCTTTTTTATGTCTTAACTGTTGGAAGTTAAGGTTGAATATAAAATAAAAGGTATACGTCTGATTAGTCTGAAGGTCTGGTTTATTGTGTATACTAGCGGTTACTCGCGACTTCGTCCGCGTGAAATAGTGACT